GCCACCTCGCCACTCACCTCCTCTTATCTCCTGGCTTTCATCCACCTGAGCTTTCCCTGTTGCCTTGGCAGCTGCTGTTGCCTAGTTACAAGAGGGGGGAATGAACCTGCTCTAACTTGTCCTTTTCAAGCAGAGGAGTTTTCCAAAGTACTGTGAGCTGTCAATAGGCACAAGCAACCCTTTCTCATTTGCAAAGAAACAGCAATAAAGCTCACCACCACAGTACACGTGGACAAGCACTTTAACCACAGGTGCATGGGTCAGAAATAGTGCAGAGAACAGTCTCTTGCTGCCAAGTGGGAAGCTCTGTTCTCTCCGTACAGCTACTGGGAAGCTCAATTTTAACGAGTGACCCACTGAGGTCTCTGAAGAACACACTGCTGGTGAAAAGAGGACACGAAACGTTTTCCCCACATTAGACCATGAAAAGTCTCCGAAACCTAACGCAAAACTTGAAAACCTATATCCAGCAATAAGTTGTTACTTGGGGGAAATCATTAGCTAACAATTTACAGGGTAGATCCATCCCTTTTCTTTAAAACAAGAATGAAAGGAAGTTTCTTGAATGTGGAGTGTTCTTCACCAAGTACAAATATCTCCTCTAGTAATGTATTTAAAGATACCACATGCCACTGAAAAGCAGCCTGTGGGGCTGTGGCATTGTAAATGCATGGCAAGCTGTCAAATGGGTTTATTGTGATGGATGACCCTGATTGTAAAGCACCTCTCCCTTAAAAATTCAAGCACTTCAAAGGACTGCTTCTCTCCATAGAAATCTATGCACCTCTTAAAATCTCTTGCCAATCTTCTTTTCTGTCAGTTCCCTGCTGCCTTCTAAGTAGGATTATTATAGTAAGGAACGGAGTTTTCTTGATAGTATCATTTGCCTTCTGGAATCACCTCCTGGAAAAGGTAAGGAAACAACCTCTGGCTGTTCCACTGGTGTGGGAGAAGGCCCGTTGTTCCCATCCAAACCTGCACAAGTACCAGCCAAGTCCAAGGTGAGCCGCTGAGGCATTCACAGCATCTCTGGGGCTCAATTGGCTCAAAGTGTATTTGGACAAGGACAACTCTCATCTCTCCCCCTTACCCACGCACCTTCTGTTTGCTGGCATACCAACATCTTCACTTTACAGAAGTGGCATATTGAGGGGGGAAGGGGTGTCAAAAGGGTTGCCTTCCCCTCTTGCAAACCCTCTTTAGACTAGCTCTTTCATGTACAGTCTAGCTGGTGGGGTATATTACAGTAGTCTAGGAGAATGGACTGATGGTGCATTATTGCAACTAGGTCTGTTTTGGGGGGAAAATATTAAAATGGTTTTTTAAAAAAAGATTTGAATTATTAGTGTTCACTTGGATTGGAGTTGTTTTCATTGATCAATGCATTAGGCAGAGTACAAATCCCATAAATAAATGAATTACAGACTATGCTGAAAATAAAAATTATTCTTTGTATCCTAGTTGGAAACAAAAAACAAAATATTTAAGAAGATAACTGACAGTACAATAATGAGAACCTAATCTAGGATGTCTCAAGTCTGACAGTGCAATCCTATGTCTATTTACTTGGAAGGAAATCCAACTGTAGTCAATAGAGTTCAGTCCCAAGAAAGAACATGTGCAAACAAGACTGCGGCCTTAAACTCTGCTTACAATAGAAGAGCTGATAGGAACTTCTGCAAGCATTTGTAAAAGGGAGTGGGGGATACTTGCAAAGGGTGCCCTGTACTAATTAAAACATTTTATGGAAATTAAATTTGTACTTTAAGAGACGGGAGTAATGCATGTAAAGGTCCATGTGAAATACAAAGCTTTAGTTTGCAAGAGATAAACGTATAGTTGGGGATATTTCAGACCTCACCTGTTTCAGATCTTGTAACACATAAATAAATGCATGTGGTATGAGGGAAACTGAACAGAGCAGGGTGAAAAATCAATTGAAAAGTCAAATGTTTTCCCTAAAAGTTGTCTGACAAATACAACACAGGGGGGGGGGGGGGGGACGACATCTATGACACGCCCTTTTACATCCGTTCCTGGCCCCCTCGTGATTGTGGCGTGGTGGACAAGGTGTTGGTGCTGCTGTGCTTCATGATGGTGTTGTCATTTTTAAATAGGACTCTGGAGCTGTAGACAATATGCAGAAAACACATGACCCTGGGACATGTTTGTGTGGCTTGTGGCTTTTTGAGATGCTGTTACAAATCAGGATTCTGGTCTCCCAGCCCACAAAGCAGGGTTGCCAACCTCCAGGTGGGGTCAGGAGATCCGCTGGAACGACAACAGATCTCCAGGCTGCAGGGAACAGTTCCCCTGGAGAAAATAGCTCAGTTGGAGGGTGGACTCTGTGGTGTTCCAACCTGCTGCTGTCACTCCCCTCCCAAACCCTGCCCTCCTCAGCCTCTGCCCCCAACTCTCCAGGAAGTTCCCATCCTAAAAGTAGCTACCCTACTACAAAGATAAATCAAAAACGTGACAATACATTGAAAGGCAGGTAGGAAATGAACAATAGTAGCAGTTCAAATTCACGGCTAGCTCTCACAGCAATCCACATTTCCACAACTGTTCAAGGCCCAATTCAAGCAAAAATCTGAAGTTTTCACACTGTGGCCACTGCAGAATAAAAAACAAGGTATCCAGCTAATGAAGTTTAGTATCCACTATGGAGATGAGAACGATGTGGTGAATAAAGTTAGCTTCCACATGAGAAGGAAAACAGAAAAAAATCGTTTTGATCAGATATTGGTTATATGCTACATTTCTTTCTGCTGCTGGAAGAGAGAAGAGGATGACTCCAGCATTTTCCTTTCTCATTGCGTCTCCGTCCTGCATGGCTTTTTTTCCTGCACAGGTCTCAGAATGCATGGCATAGCCCTTTGGGGAGTCCAAGTGGGTCCCTCCTCCCTCTTGTGCCAGCAGAATAACTGGCCAGATTCAACTCATTACTTTCTTGGTCCGGTTATTGTTGTTGTTGTTTTGCTTTGTTATCCACCAGCCTTCAGAGCAGGACAAGCTATCAAACTAAATAAACAAATGAGTAAAAATAAAAATGCCCAATGACATTTCAAACTATGTTTTTAAAAGTTATTTAATACAGCCCTGTAAAATATATCCTCCTCCTGAATGGCAAACTGAAATGCATACTGGTTATTAATGAAACAGTCAGATATCGCATGCCTCCCAGATTTTAGACTATCTTGCTGCTGTACAAAAGGTAAGTGTGTGCATATTTTTTTGCTGTTAACAAAAAGAAAGTAAGATTAATATTAAAACATACTTTCATATATTACATGTAGTGTTTATTACACCTTATTTTACCTAGTACCTCAGATCTGCATCTGACAGTACTTTTGAAAAACGTGGGAGCACTATCAGGACTTCCATTGGTGTAGGAGGATGGGAACTTTCAAGTTACACAGAATTCGTCATCAGGCGAAATGGAAAGGTAGCTAACTTTCAGGTATTTAGAGGGCAACATGGTTACTTTAAGGGACATTTTGCAGATGGCATTTTGGGGACAGTACATCCTACCCTTCAGTATATAAACATTTGAAGTGAATCTTTTATCTAGTGCGTATTCAAAATTTACCTTTAGTTCTACTAATATTGCATCCTGTCTCTTCTGCATTAACTATTCTCTATTTACCAAGAGTCCTGCTGGTTAGTAGGTTAGAAAGATCATGCATTGCAATATTGTTTATTTCCTGGCTGAAAGCATGTCATGCATCTTGTTGAACATTTTGCTAACTTGTTTTCCTACCTTGTTTTGACGATCCCCCTACCAGCAAGATTTGTAATCCAAATAACAAAATTCCTGTTTGTTTGTTTGTTATAAAGAACATTCAGCACTACTTGACTAACATCAGCCTTGGTATGTAACATCACCTTTTGTTTAATTGTTTTATTTTATTTTTGCAGACACATAAAGCAGAGTTTTGTGTAACTTGAAAGTTTGCATCCCAACATTTTGAATGTTAATGGAGCCCATAAAAGGTTCACTTTTTTGCTCTGGTGCATCTGAAAATGCCATCTGGCCATATAGTTTTGCCATATCTCTGCAGCCTAAATGGAAACATGAAGCAGGGAGGACAGGTAAAATTCCATTTATCACGTGGCCAGATACAGTTGGGTAGTTGCATTCAGCCTGTGGTCAGTTGAGGCCACTGTGTACCAAATGTATCCATCTCTTGTTCAGAGAGAAAATGGTGTGTGTGTGTGTGTGAGAGAGAGAGAGAGACAGAGACAGAGACAGAGAGAGACAGAGAAAATGCAAGGTCTCTTGATCTTGTCTCTTTATTCAACAAGAGACAAACACTTGTTGAGAGGAGTCAACCTTTAGCTCATAGATGGAACACATTATGCTGAAGGTCTCAGATTCAATATGTGGCGTCTCCACTTAAAAGGACCTCCGGTACTAGGGTTCAGAAAGTCTTCTGCCACAAACCTTGAAGAATCAGTCCCAGAATACATGATGGAATGATACTCTGAATATAACACAGCTTTGTATGTCCATATGAAATAATGGCAGTGAATACCTTTTGAAGGGAAGCTGGGCACTGTGAGGTCAAAGTGAAAGTGTGGGCGATGATGGGAGAAATGTTTATTTATAAAGAATCCACTGTAAATGTCTTTTGTCTCATTTCATATAATTATGTAAAGTTTTACTTCCACAGAAGTAAATTGTAACAGAGGATTGTAAAAAAAAATTGCCTTTACATGGGGATTAGACAAAAAGGACAGGTTTATCATCAGCTCTGAGCCATGGTAGCAGAATGGAAGCTCCATGTTCCTGCAGTGACAGGGAATGACTATTGCCTTCATGTCCCATGTATGCATTTTCTGGAAGCATCTGTCAGGAAATAAGACATCCATTTTTATCCATTTCATCTCTGCTTCAGTTAAATATGACATCCTTGGTATAGATTTTCTTTTCAAAGATTGCCATGGAGCCTTCTCAGTGTGTGTACTGATCCAACTGTATCACCACTCCCCCGTTCCAGGACTATCATCATGCTGCCAGAGTGAGCCACGTAAGTTCCCTGCCTCATCCAAGGTCTCAACATGGACGATACGGACGATATGTGGATGACAACCCGGTGGTCCATTTCTTCAAGAACATTGTAAGTTTTCCTTCTGTTTTAGTCATTTCGGACTGAAAGGACTTAAAATGAAAAATCCTACTAAACCATTAACCAGCATCCTAAGATGAATTTTCTTGTAAAATAGCATGCAAACAAAATCATGGAACATTTGCATGCTTTGCATTCCCCCACCCCACCCAACACCAAAAACAATAACATGATAGAAATTAGACACTGCCACCCTGCTCTGGAGTCCTGATGCTTTCGCACATGTGAATAATTCCACTTTAGCAATCATTCACAAGTAGATTTTGACATTTCACACAGTAAAATGCAGTTGCACAGTGCATTGAAAGAGGACTGAAAGTGCATTCTTCAACATGTGTGAATGTATATCATGAGAGCTGCTACATTTACTTGTACAGATGATACCGAGAACCTTGCCTTCCTCTGAACAGCACAAGTCTTGTGAGTGAGGAGCTCCATGTACACACTGGAGCTCCTGCAGGAAGTCTCTTTACTGGAGCCAGTATTACAGGTAAACTCCATATGCACGGTCCACCATCACCTATAGCACTGGTTCTCAACCAGTGGTACAAATGCGACTGGTGGGGTGCAGAATTTTCATAACAGTAGCTCAGAATTCACTCTCCCTAAATCTCAGTAGCCCCAACCTGGATAGCCTAAGCTAGCCGGGTCTTATCAGATCTCTAAAGCTTAGCAGGGTTGGCCCTGGCTAGGATTTGGATGGGAGACCTTCAAGAAAGCCCAGGGTTGTGATGTGGAGGCAGGCAATGTCAAACCACCTCTGAATGTCTCTTGCCTTGAAAACCCAATGGGGTCACTCACTATAAATTATCTGTGACTTAATGGTGCTTTCCACTACCACCAATGCCCAATAATACTGCTAATTTTAAAAATGTATTCTATAAGCCACGAAAAGTATACTCAACAGCATTATTACAATTTTCAACAGCTAATGGAATTATAATTGTTGTTTGTGTTTTAAAGCTATAGCAATAGAATTTACTCCTAACAATACTACTGCAGTTTTTTATATCCTTGAAACTTACTATATACAATAAATAACAGGATGCCTGTAAACATATAAATGGCCTTCTCAGAAAAAGGAGAGGGGGTTGTTTCTCTCATGTTGTGGCATAGGTTGTTCGATAAGAGTGATTGGTGGGAAATAAGGTACAGAATGTCGAGAACCACTGAACTCAAGAACTCCAAGAATTTGTTCTGTTTGCATCTTGCAACTTCCTTCGACAAAACTATCTTCCTCAATTACTGTTTTTCCCTTGTTGCTTTGTGTTTATCAGTGTGCTTTAATGTTCTGCTCTTTTCTTTTCTTTTTAAGATTAATGTTCTGCTCTTGGCTGGTTGTTTTAGGCCCATAAAAATGAACTGTAGCCTACCAGATTTCAAGCCTTTGAAGCCACAAAAAAGAGGACTTAATATCAAAGTATAAGAGAGTTTTCTTCTGCTGTGAAACTGGGATGTTCCCATATTTATTTTTAAAAAACACTGAGAAGGGTAAAAGGCCCAGCCATACTGAGGACCTTGCTGTCTACTTTTTCAATAAGTTTGTAAAATAGCAAACAATACGAAAAACTTCCTGGAAGAATGTCTATGTCGGACATTCACAAAGGGGAGGTGCTTCAAGATAAAGAATGTGAGCCCCTTCTGGCTATGTGTGCTGATGACTGCATGTAGGGTAGCCAACCTCCAGGTCGGGCCTTGAGATCTCCTGGAATTACATTTTATTTCCAGACAAATATCAGTTCCTCTGAAAAAAAAACCTGGCTGTTGTGGAGGATGGACTGTGGGGCATTAGACTGTGGAGGCCTGTCCCCTCCCCCAACCCCACCCTCCCTGGGCTCCACCATCAAATCTCCAGAAATTTCCCAAGCTAGAGCTAGCAACTAGGGTTGCCAAATCATAATTACTCACCAGTGGGGGAGCGTTCGCTGGGTCCAGGAGCTGGCCGCGGGTGTGTGCGTGTGGGTGTGAAGCGTGCACGCGCCGCCAGAACGTCACCGGAAGTGACGCAGGATGTAGGGCACGTTGGGGGCGTGGCCCAGATCATCGGGGAAAACCATATGGTTTCCCCCCCGACGATCTGGGCCACGCCCCCAACACGTCGTACGTCCTGCATCACCTCTGGTGACGCAGCTTTGGGGGGCGGAGTTCCCCCCGGGGCCCGATTCTGCCGTGGCGGAAATCGGGCCTCCAAAGCGGGGGGGAATCCGCCCCCGGGGGGATTTGGCAGCCCTACTAGCAACCCTAAACCCAATTTGTCTTATACTTTCTCCTCAAAAATGTGGAGTAAAACCATGAAAACCAGACCTCTGAGCAACTGGGCATTGTTGCAGAGAGAACAACTCATTTGGGGAGCCATCTAGATGACTGAAGGATGTCATGTAGACAGCCAGTGCTGGGTAGTGGTTAAAGTGTTAGATGAGGATCTGGGAGACCCAGACTCCAATCTAGGGTTGCCAGCTCTGAGGTGGAAGCAGGGGTTCTATAGAAGTTTGCTCAAAATACCAGAGCATCACTATGCAATGTCCCTAGCATGATGACATCACTTCCATGTGACGTCATCATGTTGAAGACATCGCGTATGGTGACATTGCTCCACCCTCCACCGGAAGGCTCCCTCCCACCCCTGCTGGCAAGAGGTCAGCACCAGGCAACCCAGTCCAATCCCCCTCTGTGATGGAAGCTTGCTGGATGACCCTGGGCCAGTCACAGACTCTCTGTCTGACATATCACACAGGGCTGCTGTGTGTATAAAATAAAGGAAAGGAGAAGGAGGTGAGCCAATTAGAGTTGCCAGGTCCCCCCAGCCACCGGCTGGGGATGGGGGAGTACAGTTGCCAGATCCAGATTGAGAAACTCCTGGAGATTTAGGATGGAGCCTGTGGAGGACAGTGGGGTACAATGCCAAAGCAACCATTTTCTCCGGGGGAACTGATCTCTGTAGTCTGGAGATGAGCTGAAATTCCAAGTGTCTTCAGGTCCCACCTGGAGGCTGGCCTTCCTAAAGCCAGTTTGGGTCTCCACTAGGGAGAAAGGTGGGGTATAAATGAAATAAACAAATAATTTATTGCATTATCTTTCTCTGCTCAGTGTGTGAAACAGGACTTTCAAATGGTTGTAGCTCATTAGGAAGCTTCTGTTCTTTCTGAGCTGAGCTTTGATATACTCAACAGTAGCATATATTTTCCTTGTACTCCTGAAGTTTGGATTGTGATCTCACACATATCACACACACACACACACCTGCCACAGGACATGCAAGCAGCTGACAGAGAGGTTCAAACTCCTGTCTAAAGCCCTGACTAATTTTGATTATGCAAGGAAGGAAACGACTTGTCTGCTGCTGTATGCAACAGTTCTACAACCTGCATTCCCGCTCCATCTGGCGATGCTATTTTTTATAGTTTGTTTTGCTTGTGTTTCATCCTTTCTGGGTTTTTTTTAAAGGCAGCCAGATGGTATTTTGTTCCATTTTTATTAGGCCTAAGTAACCCCATAACTGGGAGTCAACATCCTTTTTTTGGAAAATACACGGTCAGAATTTGTGAACCTTTGCTATTGTGCCCATTCTTTGCACTGATTCTCTCTTGCGAAAAAGAGCAAGAAAAATGTAGCATACAGTAAAATACAGAAAAGACTGAACAGGATAAGAGATTCTAGCTGTATTACAGCTAATAGCAAATATACAATCAATGTTCTTTTCATTAATGTCTTCACAAATCCCTGTAAACTTGGTATAAGATGGGGATAAATTGTGGTACCCTTCCTGAGGGAAATGGAATGCAGGAAGCATATTGGACCTGCTCTCCAGAACCTGTACACTTAAGAGACTGCTGCTCTGAAAGACAGCAGCAGCTAAAAACAACGGTACTTTCCAGAGATTCATTCATCAGAACTGAAGGACTTCCCCACTTGGCAGACTACATTTAATTTATGGCACTTTTATTATGAAGAGACTTAAAAAAATAGAACTTCATGTCTCATAAACCACTTCTAGTTGATGGCAATTGTATAGAAGTTTGTGCAGCCACTGGACGGAACTTGATAATCCATCTCTTTCACAAGGTTTATTTTAAAACATGCTTGATGTAACAGGCTGTTACCCTGAATCTCTAGAAAAGGCTGGGATATATAACAAAATTAATAAAGTGCAAGGAGTTGCTAGTGGAGGGCATGGTTGATTTAAAGGATATGTGGGACAGAGCTTGATGAACACCTCCTTGAGGGGGCAGGAAGACTCAGAGCACCATTTCTTTTACTACTTGTCAGCAGGAGAGAAATAGTGTGATGTGCAGGGGTCATTTCGTAGAAAAAGAGCTAGGGGGACTCATTAGCATAACTCATTAGCATATGCCACCCCCCCTGACATCACCGGAAGTGTGTCCTCCGCACAGCCGGCGGCGACCTCCAGCGGGCACCAGCAGGGAGCTCCCGGCCCCGCCCTCCCACTCCTCACCCGGGGGGGTGGCGTCCCCCCGCGTCCCCCCCCCAAATGACCCCTGGTGATGTGGATTGTCAGGGTAAGACTAGAGAGACCTGGATTTAAATCCCCATACTGCCATGAAGTTCATAAGGTGACCTTGGGTCACTCACTCTCCCTAAACCTAAGCTACCTCACAGGGTTGTTTGAAGATAGAATGGATGGAAGAACACAGCCCTGATCTCCTTGGAGATGTGTGTGACAGGAGGAGGAGGAGGAGGAGGAAGAGCACCACTGTTTTCAGTGGTAGCTGCGTAGACCTCTACCATCTAACTATGTTCCCATCGAGTTTGGTAAGCCTGACCTCAGCCATGAACTCTTTGGATGGGTCTGGAACAGCATCTCACAAAGTTACTGTAATTTATCAGGATTGTAAAAATCTTGCACTTAGAAAGTGTTGTATAAATAATGAATGGTCACTGAACTGAAGGGCATCTAGTTGACTTCCTCTGTTTTGCATTCATTTGCATTCTGGAAATGTTGTTTCACAGGTTACTCTAATCTGAACTGCAGTGCCCCCCCCCCATCAACCAGTTCTGTTAAAACACCTTCTTGTTAATAAGCAGCCAAGAAGCATTCTTAGTGAAGAAAAAGGTCAGAGAGACAGGGTCTGCCTTCCAGAGTGCAGTGAAAAGATCCTTTTTATTAATATTCAGCCAATCATTTTTAATTGCCATTCTGTGTTGCTTTTTAGGTGTCACCAAGAACACCTCCTCCTATGCAGGCAAAGGTAAGCATCTCTGAGAAAATCTAACATTAATTCACATGATGGATCGTCAGTGTGTGCTAAACCAGAGACTCATTCATGACCTGAGTCTGACACCAAAATAATGTGAAAGCTTAAGCAAAGGAAATAATTTATCTGTGTTTGGAGTTAAGCAAGTGAGACACTGGGGCATGACTCTATTATACAGAAAGATGTCCTATATTGGAAGTACTTTGAAACTCTTTCCAGAAAGCTGCTGCGCAATATAAACACTCTATTCCAGCAGCACGTCTTAAAGCTTTTGGCTCAAAAAGATCAGTGTTTGGAAGTCCTCCCTCATTTTAGCACTGGGCTTAGTTTACAGTGGTCATAAGCAATAGAGTGGATTAGGTTTACAACAAAATGCACCCTGCTATTGTTTCAGGAGAGAAGGTGGCATGGTATTAGCCCAGGGGTTCCCAACGTGGTGCTTGTGGGTGCCATGGCATCTGCCAACTCCTTTTCTGGTGCCTGCCAAGTGGTCGGAGCCAGATGGGGCTTTTGCCAATTAATGCTTCTGACTGAGCACTGGAGAGTTGATTGGCTCTGCGGATTTTTAAAAAAAGTTGATCTGGCAGCACTGCCACTACATCACAAGGATCTTCAGTGTGTGACTGAAGGAAAGCTGCAGCAGCCATTTTGTGGCAACCATTCTGTGGCTGTGCCCACCAGGCAGTGTCAGGATTCCAAAGGTGCCCACAGGCTCAAAAAGGCTGGGGACCCCTGGTATAGCCTGATCTCGACAGATCTCAGAAACGACGTGAGGCCTGTACTTGGATGGGAGATCACCAAGGTCACCCTTCTTCTCCCTAATCTTCCTCAAGTTAGAGGGTCACTGAAGTGCCTAGCTTTTTTGTCTGTCCTCATAGTTTCTTTCCCTCTTGGGGAGAGTGAGACGCTGAGCAGGTCCACACTGAATCATTCTTGGGTTCCCCACAGTAAAGGCAAAGAAAAGAAAAATGTAAATTAAGGACAAGAATCCTTCTAGTAATGCTACATACAATTGGAGGGACTTAGGCAAAACATCCGGGTTATTTCAGGTTTTTGATTAGTAGTATAGATAAGTATAGTTAGTATAAGATAGAGTTAATAGTTGGTATATTAAAAGACAGTAATGGATTATGAAACCGGCAGCTCCAGGCATCACAGTGGATTCCCCTTGTTTCATCAGATATTATATATCAGACACCAGGCAACAAAATATAAGGAAGTGCATAGACTGAATGAGCTGAGTGGTCTCTCTAAACCCCACATGGTGCAATGGTGATAGTGTCAGAATAGCATTGAGGAGGCCCAGGTTCAAATCCTCACTCTGCCATGCAAGCTTGCTGGGTAACTTGGACCAGTGACAAACTCTCAGCCTAACCTGCCTCACAAGATTTTTGTGAAGATAAAATGGAGAATGGGAGAATGTTGTAAGCCATTGGGTCCCCATTGGGGCATGAAATGGGGCATACATGAAATAAATGAATAAAGAAAAGAACTCAATTTGAGTTTAGCCCTGTCTGTGTAAAGCTGAGGAGAGTTTAGTTCTGACTGAAAACAGTTTCATATTGATTAAGGACTGGGAAGGTTGGCAAGAAGGAGTGGGTGGATCAGTGAAGACCCCCTCATTCGGGCCAGGAAAAGGGATAGATTTTCTGGTTAGAGAAGAGGTGCCCTACCCAGTTGAAAGGGAGATGGCTCTAAAGAGTGGAGTGGATCCTGGTGTACTCAGAGAAGGCATTTGGGTGCTTGTTAGTGTATCCCTGCCTTCTGAAACCTGAAAAGTCATTGAAGCTCAAGGAAGTGAACTGCAGGGTTTAGGAAACACTGAAACAAATGCCTCTCATCTCAAAGATTTTAAAACTGTGGAAAATTTAAAACTTTCAATTGCTGAAAACATAGGAACTGTAGTTTGTGAAAATATTGTTACCTCAGAGTTCTTATTGATTTACCATAGACTTTTTACCCCTGATTTCACCTGACCTTTCCCCCTCTATGTTGAATAAAATATTTTGTTTATTTTTAAATGTTATAAAGCCTCTTGTCTGCCATTTCAGAAGTTTAAGTTAAGAGGGTGATCTCATCTCTTCCCTCAAGTTTCTGGGATGAACCAGCATAAAAATATAATAATGCGACAGGGTGGAACAGCCATAGATCTTCAGGGAAGAAGAAAATATATAAAGGGGCTGCTCAGTGAGAAAGGAAGAGAAAAATGGAGAGAAAATCCTGTGTCTGAGGAAGGAAAGAGGGTGAAATCATCATAGTTCCCTTGCTTTAACCAGCAGTCTTAGTTCAATTTTAACAGATAAAATTTCTCTCACTTCTTGTACACCTTCAGTGCATTTTTGCTCCACGGTGGTCACCTTGTCACTGTTTCTGTTTCTTATATGCGCAGGGGAGAGGATTATCCTTCAGCAGATTTAGCTGGGTAGGTGATGAACATGTTTTCCCTTGCAGCCATTTTGTTTTGCCTAGGCCCAAATGGCACCTTACCTTTCTAGCGCTACAGAATCCTGACAATCATGTTTTGACTTTAGCTTCGTTTGCTTTATTCCTTCTGATCCACTTCCTGGCTCCCAAGCAATTTGTTTATGCCTGTGGTTTTGTTGCTTGCTTTTATCCAGAAGCCTGTCAAGCTTACAGTGTGATTAAAATTTCTTTCACCTGCAAACAAGCAAAGCAACTTCACTGCATGACACATCTGCCTCTTTCCTTTAAGGCTGCTGAAAGGTTCTGCTGATCTCTGGGTGGGTGGTGATCATGGAAGGGAGAAGCATGGTGTGAAGTAATTAATTGCTCATCAGTTTGGTCTGGAACTAAGAATATGGTAAATTACTGGCTAAGAAGTGTGCATTTTGCATAGGACTTCCAACTCCAGGTTTGGAAATACCTGGAGATTTGAGGGTGGAGCCTGGGACAGCGAAGTTTAGAGATGAGGGATCTTGGTAGGGTGTATCACCATGCAGTCCACCTTCCAAAGCAGCCATTTTCTCCAGGAGAAGTGGAATAAATGTTTTAAATACTGGAGATCAGTATTAATTCCGGGAGATCCCCGGCCCCCACCTGAACCCTGGCAACCCTAACAGTTTATGGCATTTATTGATACTCCAAAAGTTTGCCTACAGTTATATTTTCAAAGAAAAATACATGAAGATGAGGACATGGTAAAGTTGGTTCTTCGCTGTAGATTGATATGCACACAAGATCAATATGCAGAATACCAGTAAGTGAATGGACTATTAAAACTGTGGTGATGAGATCAAACTCTCAGCCTCCTCTTAAGGTTTGAGTACAGTCCTATGAATCCCCACATCTCAGCACTTAGAAGCAGGGCCTGTCATGGGGCAGCCAAGAGGGCCATTTGGCTTGGAGCTCACATTCACAGAGGGCCTCAGGTGTATACATTTGTTTGTGTTTTGGCATTTGACAAGTTCTGCAACTTGTTTTATGTGCATTATACATCTTTTTTGTTGTTCTTTTGTTTCATTTTAATTACAGCTAGGGGCCTCAGAATCTACAAGCGGCTCAGGCCTCTCTGGAACCCTGACAGGGCCCGCTTGATAAATTGGAGAGGAGCCTGTGGAAGACTAACAATGCACCTTTCTGACAAGAGTATTATGGCATTTTCTATCATGTTGTTAGCCCAGGAAGGAGGATTTGCCAAGCAGTTTTATAGTTTCAGTTCAATGTTTGGATGACCTCAAGTAGAGTTATACTTCTTAGTAGACTTACACTGTAGTCGTAAGCAGAGTTACACCTTTCTAAGTCTGTTGAAGCCAATCCTCTGCTCAGGGTTGCACTGTCAATTCCTACCTCATACTGGGAAGCAACCAAAAGCTCTGGCAACCTCAGCTGACCAGGTGCACATTCAGAATTACCCATTTGTCCTTTAAGACGGCCATTAGCCCGAAGTGGCTCAAACTTACAAGTAAATTTGAGCCACGTATAAAGAATAATAACTCAAACTACTTCAATTACCGTTTTGGCTCAAAACGCATTTTGGAAAAACAGAGCATCTCCTTGTATTGTAGTGTGGTTGATAAGGCAGTTTTCATAAGTCTGAAATGGTTGTTTACCACTGAGGAAAATACTCTTTTAAGGTAAAGAACCACTTCACAATTGTTGAGAGGAACAATGGTTATGCTTTGTCTCTATTTTTTTTAATGCTGCTTTTCAAAAAGTGGACAACACTGAAGTGTAAGTACTTGTTCCGTAATAAGAACAACAAAATAAGTTCTCTTCAAGTTACCTTGAATAACACCTTAGAGGGATAAATGCTTGAAAGATTGATACCTTTAGGCGGCAATCCTAAGAAAATTTACTGGAAGTAAGCCCAATCGGGGGAAAAAAATTGGTCTTATGTCTGAGTAGACCTGATTAGGCTTGCTCCTTTATTTTGTTTACTTCTTCTGGTAGTGAAGGGCAGGGTATAAATCCAATCTCTTCTTCTTTATATTTTTCTCTACTGTTATATCAGTTGTGTGACTCTAGTTCTTACTGTTTGATAACCTGAATGCATGAAACAGGTTGCATTGGTTATCATGCGATTACTTATTAAGAATCATCATGTTGGGCAATTTCCAACTCTGCGTGGCAAGATGCATGGTAAGATACTTTTGGCATATTGACTAACTTTTCAACTGAACTGCATTTACTCTCAGCTACCCAGTCTACATATTTTAACCTCCGTGTCTATGTGTTTTGTTGCTACCAGATGACATTTTCTTCCAGCACTGGAGGAGATCCCCATTCTGCCTGTCTCCTATTATTTAATTATGCAGGTGGCTATAATATATTATGGCTGAGAAATCGTGCAATTTCTCTTTTTCAGGGTGGTGAAACTCCAAAGCATGGATATGGAAGTGGCAAATTCTATGAGCATAAATATGCTCATAAGGGACACAAGGGATACCACTACGATGGCCAGGGCACACTGTCTAAACTCTTTAAACTGGTAAGGTATTAGAACTACAGTAAGCAAGAACTGATTGTGAAGGGAGGAGGGAAAACATGTTCCTCAGTTATCAGATCACCCAACATTGCACTGACTTAACATCTACAGAATATTAGGGGAAAGCCTAAAACAGACATCCTGGAGATGAGCAACACTGTTTGTAAAACAGAAGTTTTGTGTGGCTGCATATAGGAGTCGGGTAACATAGCTCAGCTCTTCCATCTTTCCTGCACTAGTATCAACAGTAGCCTCTACAAAGTGTCTTAGGTACATATAGTCCACCAGATGACATGTTCTTGCATGAAGAGTGAGCAACTGTGCTGTGCATAGAGGATATTATTTATTTATTTGATTTTTAAAAAATGTATACCCTCATCAGGGCCACCAAGGTGGCTAACAGATTAAAAGCATACATAATAAAAACATGTCTTAAAAACCATTAAAATAAAACAAAAGCACACCACTGAAATGACTAAAACCAAAGCAAAAATGCATCTATAAATAGTCAAACATAGGGGAGGAAGGAGGGATCTCCAAGGAGAACAAAAATCTTCACCCGCTGGTGGTAGATAGCAACAGAGGGGGAGAGCCTAGTCTCCCTGGGGAGAGAATTCCACAGTTTTGGTGCCACAACCAAGAAAGCCCTGGTTGCCACACCCTTCATCTCAGGAGGCGGGGGCACCCAATGCAGGGTCTTGGATGATGTCTGTAGTGGCCAGGTAGGTTCATAAGAACATAGTTAAAGCTCAGCATAAATGTGAGATTCACAACATGGTTCCGAAGAAGCCATAGAAAAGAAATGCCACCTACTGATTTTTTTTACAACCCTAAATATATCTTTCATGAAATAAAAAACAAACAAACAAACAAAAGGCTGTTAAGATTGGCTAGTTTGATGATTTTGGTCCTATTAGCAGGCCTCGTATTTGGCCCTATAAAATATCTCCCAGCCATTGTTTTCAATAGCAAGATCCTGTGAAGAAACATCATCTCCGGAGGAATCTATGCGTGATTTTGTCTTGTTACCCACTTCGTTTAAATGCAGACATATTTTCTGATTATGTCAGCCAGTAAATTGCAGCCACAATTCCCTCTTGATTAAAATAAATATTCTACAAGGGACAAGTGTAATGGGAATGCATGCTCATTTAATCCTGTGAGTAGGAGAAAAACAAGACAGTAATATTTTAAATAAATATCCCAGTGCAAATCATAGTCCTGTGCTCTATTTTTCAAACAGCACTAGTGAAGATATATTAGTATCCTTTCTAATGAAAGGTATGCAATTATTCAAAACATTGTACATTACAGAAAAATGGTCTGACCCATAATCCAGTTAATAGGAAATAGTTAAATTTAAGCCACTTTAGTCATATTGATTTCAATCGGTTTAAATAGTTTTAAAAAGAAAGCACTTTGATCAACTTACACAAGCAGGCAAAAAAGTCCATTGAAGTCAATAAGCCGAGAAGAGTGTGATTGTGCCTTGGCTAACAATTTGTGGTATTTTATGCACGTGCTGCTGGTGCCATTCTAGCTGCTTTTAAGGGGGGGGGAACATATTTTTAACATTTAGTAGCATGGATATGCTACACAAAATCCTATGTTAATAGAAGCTGACTTTTAACACCCTAAAAGCATTTTTTCCAAGCATTTCCTTTTTTCTGTTTCTCCGAATTCAAATTGTTCAAATCAGACATAAATATGGTTTGGGCAAATTAAATAAGTCTCTAGTGAGATTTCAAGTTTAGGAAGAGAAAATGTCTTTAAGGTTATGCGGTGCCTACTGTGCCATGTGCCAAAGCAGGAAGGGAAGCAGACAGCACCACAAATTGGCAATGTGTTTAATATTGCAATTTCACACAAACAGCAGAGGGAAATGTGAACATTTATTCTTACGGGAACATGAATAACACCAATGCAGTGCAGTTGGATCCAATGCAAAATTTCCACTTGCACTAGAGTTCCTGCACAAGTGAAAACACAAGAAAAAAGACTGCAGGAGCCACTTGCACTAAGGCCAACTTATTGTATCCCCAGTTGTATTTCTGCTTGCACAAGATGTGCAAACCAATCTCTGGGCCCTATAATATACAGGGAGGAAAGCACTGGTTTTCACAAACTCACGTGGAAGCAGAACTGTACTACCTGTCTTTATGCTTCTGCTTGCCCATCACTGGATCCATTTTATAGATGCATATCTATAACAGGGTTGTGTATCTGAAGAAGTGAGCAGTGATTCATGAAAGCTCATACCCTACTACAAATTTTTGTAAGTCTTTAAGGTGCTACTGAACTTTTACTCTTTTCTAGGCTTGTTCCAGTGACTTTCCAAAGCAAAAAAAGTCCATCCTACCATATTACTATCAGTCTCACTAGGATGGTGCAGCAGACCAAAGAGTTGCATCAACAGGGGTCCACGGAAGAATTTTAAGCAAATCTTGTGTATGCCCAACCTAGCCTTTCACAGACAGCTGTGTAACAACAGTGCATTGTACCTATATGCTGTAACTGGCAATAGAGGTAGATCCTGCCACACATGGGACCCACTCATGCTATCTACACCAAGCTTCAAAATGTTACATTGCCCTGGGTAATTTATTGGCTCAATAGCTAATGTCATCAACATATTTTTAGGGTGATACCTGCCACTGTCACAAATATTGACTCATGCTGCAGCAAACAAAAAGCAGGGGAAATAACGTGCCATTCTAAATGCAAACAAGAAACTATCCTGAAGTTCAAGTGGATAGGAAAAAATTAAATTTTATGCCTTGGTTAAGTGAAAAGACACAGAATTGAATCTGCACTCACCAAAAGCCAGACAGTATTTACAGTAACAGGTTAATAACTTTTTCTAGTTATTTGATGCATCTACTAGTATTGTACATCTATGGTTTGATGGGGTATTTGTAAATTCATTGTCCTGGATGAAGTTCTGCTATTGCTGCAAAATGGGTAGGGAGATTATTTTTAGTAGATATTTTAGGTAATTTGAAATTTCAAACTCTAACGTGACTAAACGTTCAAATTTACACATCCTCAAGTGGAAATATGTTCCAATAAAACAGATGGGGCACCCATTTAACTATCCATCCCATTCTTCACCGTAACAATACACACCATGCTAACAGTGATATTTAATGTGTTTATGTCTCAAGTCTTCAGCATCACCTCTAACAGTTTCATGTTTATGGCATACCCATGCATTTATATATTTCAACCAACCTCAGTTTTTATGAACTGTTAGTGTTGAGGAATCAGATTAAATTTTTGCGAGGTTGAGAACAGAAAGGAAGTTTAGCTCAAATGGATAATTTACTGACGCTGGGCATCCTCATGTCAAATTTCCTGTCTTTTTTGGTTCCAGACTGGGTTGGATCTAGATTAAATTTTCTAGCTACAAAATGGAATCCTCCTGCCTCCCACTGCAACCCACTGATCTCCACCCTAAGGAATTATATTAGATGGGGCTGTAGTGGGAAGAAGGACTTGGTGGAAATGGCCATTAGCTTTAATAATTTTCATGACATGCATGACTTCTTCAGATCTGAAGCTCCCATTGCCTTCCAAAGGTACTTTTGCTCTTCATAGAGTGTATTAGTGATTTCACCTAAGGTACTGATTTAGACAGCGGTTCCCACACTACTTTTCATGAACATCTGCAAAAATCCAAAATGTTCCTTAAACCCTGACTTCTTAAAATAGAGCTAATTAAAACACAGTTTCTACAAGTAATGGATCTAAAAGGTCCACAGAATGGAGAAACTGACATTTTATAGCATATAATTTAGCCCATTAAATATAATTATAATCCTCTGGCTAATATTGATGAAACTGAGCAGTTCAGAAGCCACTTCAACTGAAAATGAACAAAGAAATATTGAAAAGAGTTAGCACAAAATGTTGCTGACCATATAAAAAAAAAACCCAGAAAGGAATCAAATGGCATCCATAATCTCCTCCTACAGCATAAGGAAAATAAACAGAAGAATGCTGGGTACAGATAGAAGAGGAGGTTATATGAAGAAAAAACTCCTCATGCCAGGAACCCCCTAAACTTGTATGATTCTGGTTTCACAGAGTTACCGCTAACTACCTACCTGTGATACTGGTCTCTTCGCTTATTTTTGGAGTATGGCCAAACAGTCAGAAAAATAAAGAAGTTCTCTGAGCTTCTGCTAATCTTTAGAGGGAGAACTGCAATCGTAAGCAGTTATAGCCTTGTAAAGCACAATGTGAACAGTTTTGAATCAGGGAAGTGTTTGTAAGTGCTCTTACCAGTTCTGTTGCCACCATCTATTCCTTTTGGCATTGTGAGTGCCCCTTTATAACCGCAATGTCATTATTTCACTGCCAGCTGTACCACTCAGGGTACTTTGCTGTTTTCTGTTGCACATCTGCGGGTTGGTGGGGCAGGGCCACATCTCCATCAGATCTGTCCCGAATGAAAAGCAGAATGGCAGTAATCCTCAGTGTTGCATACAATTCCAGGCATGGGATTTGCTTCTGCTACTTTTAGGAAGGCATTAGTTCAGCAGAAAGTTGTAGAAACACAGAAATGAGCCAGCCCTTCTTGTTAAAAGGATTGGGAAGGAATCGACCAGCTTTTCCATTGGTGAAAAAAGAGGAAGGGTCATCTTCAGTTACTGAACAAACTGTGCTGGGGATCGTGGGACCTACATGGGCAAAAGTCCCATGGGAGGTAATCTGCCACGAGTCTCAATGAGAAAGTTGGTCTATAAATAAATAAGTGGGGGTGTAGTAAGGTGGAGACTGGATCCAACCAATTCTATGGATACAGACATTTGTGAAGGTTCGTTAACAACCCTATGATCTTGCCAGTCACTGGCTTCACCCACACACAAGCAAGCTATCAGAGGGTATAACGGTAAATGTTGTTTCTTTTTTGTTGTTTTGGGGGTTTGAACATAATTTCTATGGCATGTCCAGCAACACTGAAGAATGCTTGTTCAGCTCATTAGAAACAACAAGACTCTAATCATTTGGACAAGAAAATTATAGAAATACTAGCACCTTTTCTTTATGTAGCATTTCATTATAATAAACGCAGGCTATTTTTTAAAAACTGATCAGAAACAAAGAAAATATTTCCTAAAGAAAAACAGTGTGTTTTTTTCCATGCGATAACCATTTTAGGCCAATTAAGTAAGCACTGCTAACATGCATCCTCTATTCATATTGAAGGGGCTTGTGTACAGCTGTAAAAAAAAAAGGGCCACTTAAATTAGTGGAGGCTGGAAATCAGCAATGAACCACAGAATGATTCGCAGTCTGTAGAAACAGTACTTATTTCCATCAACAGGTCAACACAATCACATATGACACACATATACTGTACCTATTAGTGGTATTCTCATATTAACATCATGTAATTTCTTTTTTCCAAAGGGAGGATCCGGTTCCCGACCTGGTTCCAGGCATGGCTCTCCCATTGCTAGGCGCTGAAGCTCCAAGATAGCATTGAAGGACCACGTTCTCTGCTTCATAACAAAGCTGCCTTAAAGATTTAATAACCAATTGCAGAATTCCCTAGATAGAAACACAATCTATTTTGTTAATGTCCGTTGAGCTGTGTATGCAGTAGGAGTATACAAAATTCTATTGGTAAATGCTGACCAAAAGTTGAACAAAAGCAAAAACAACCCCCACCCCTGACTTGCAATGTAGTTTTTACTTGCTGGCAGCAATATTTTAGGGAAAGTAATGGAATGCCCCATTTTACTCAGTTTACTTCAAGGTGTTCCCAAAGAATATAGGGCTTTAGATTTCTGAGTGCGTACAACATTAAATCCCTGACAGATTTCAGTTCCCCCCCCCTACTAAACCCTAAGTAACAACCTAAAATGCAATTGTCCAGAGTTTTGAGCACTGCCATTAACCAGCCATCAAAACCCTTGCTGTAACCCAACGACAAACAAATAAAAACATGTGCAGAAGTTGTAAGGACTGTTTATCCAAACGTTTCATTTGATTTGGTTTTCATTTTGGTCATTTGTTGTTTTTCTTAGTACCCCTTTCTCTCACAGAATTCTTTATTTTTTATTTTTTTTACTTTCCTAACAGGATTAGCAGTCATAGAAAGGGTATATTAAACTGGGAGTTCAAGGTATGTGAGATGTGGAAGAAGGCAGCTGTTACTGTTTCACTGAGACAGAGCAATGTTCCTAAGGAATGATGTACATTCTAAGGAAAAGCTTTGTGCTTGACCAACTGCTCGTCACACCCAACACATTAGGAAATGAGTGGCTGGGAGAGAGAAAAGAGGATATCAAATCTGAATTAGACTAGCTTTACAACAGAAAACTAGGGATAATCCCCAAGAAGAGAAAACCTAGATGTACATGTATGGATAATGGGATGTCCCTGCAGCTCCACACAGGCACTTGCTGCAAAAATACTTTTTTGCAGCTAAAAATTTTTAAAAGTCTAATTTATGAATGAGAGAAAGCCCTTTGGGAGGAAATTTCAGAAAGTACTGCACAACTAAAGTTAGCTTTTCCTGCTGTCATTAGAGCAGCAAGTTTAAATATGCAGTGCATCAGAGTAAATGACGCTTCACATGTAATATGGTAGATATATATTAAAACTAATGAATTAGAACTAGGCATTAACAGCGATACATGTACTAAGGTATATACATGTGGAAATGGGTCTCCCAAACCACATAAAAGAAAAATGCTCTTCTGAATTGCACTGTTTTATAACCTTCAACCTATCCTTTCACTCAGTGACCTCCATTTACTCATTCAGTGTTTTATTTGAGCTTATATTTTGTAGACATTATATTTAAGACTAAGTTGGCACCTACCCTTAGCTAAGCTAATGCATATCATGAGTTATCAACATTAATGGCAACTGATATATAGATGTTGTTGTTAGTGATAGATCTACCATAGGTTTCAAACAACGTTCTTAATATGCAGCAATGAATGATGAGAGGGTAGAAAACACAGACACTAAATGAGACAGAACACCAAAACTGTTCAGCACAGACACCTATTACATCTTCTTTTAAGCTATGTTGTTGGCTATGTGTATTTTTCTATGTGTAGCCTCATCCAGTTGTGTATTCCACAACATAATAGTAAGTTTCACTTAAGTGTATTGTTCTTAAAAGTGTATGAATACAACTCCTAAAAAATCATTATTGAAATAAAATACTCAACTTTTAATGAAATTTGGAGGATTTAATTTTTTAAAGCAGTGTGTGCTTCAAGATGGATCATGCAAATCAATAGAACCAAAATGTAACCCGCCCCAACCCCATGTCTGAATCAGATTATTAATGTTTTGCATGAAGCCTCTGCATAATATTAGAAAGGAAGTGGAAGACACACATTAGAGAAAATATGTTTTCCCCCATCTTTGCTTGTTATAGGCATTTTTGCACATCTTTGAACACAGAATGCCATCCTCAACAAAATTACTCGGATGTAAATAAATATATTTAGAATTGACTTATAAATGTCAATTGTCAGGGCCCTCAAATGACAGACTGCAGTCAATGCAAATCATTTTATCCTGCGTTCAAAGTCTGTACCTTTAAACAGGTTGCTCAAGCCCAAACTAAATTGAAGGAGTTTATTCCATACAAAAAGCCTATTTCTTTCATGAAAAACATCATCAGCTTTCCTTAGAGGAAAACAGTCATCCCTATCTCTGTACTGTAAAGTAAAGTGGGTGGGCCTGGGTCAAAAACAGGCCATCCACAGACAAGGTAGGGGGTCTGTATATACTAGAGAAACTGCCCAGGTCTTTTCCTCCATCTGCTATTCAAAAAGATGTCTTAAAATTAATTTATAGTGCAATCACAAGCAGAGTTACACACTTCTAAATCCATTGGCATCAATGGGGGTCACAGGGGTGTAACTATACAAAGGATTGCACTATTTAGTCTCTCACGCACACTTTGGTCTCATTTCTACTAAGGCATTACAGTTATTCCAAGACTGTACTACTTCAGACTGCTGGTGGAAGCTCATAGTTGCATGCTGCTACATACACACACACACACACACACACACAAATGCCTAGCTGTCCTCATGACACACTTGTTTCTATGTACATGGAAGATTTTTATAAGAAGGAGCATTCAGTCAAGCAGTCTTCCCTTTTCAACCTGAAATGGTTTGGCCAGGATACAGCGCCCAACTGTACAGCTGTCTCTTCTATCTTGTCCATTCTCCAAGGAGCTTGGGGCAACATGTATGGTGTGATACCTCTTGTCCACTCACACAGAGTGTCTACCACCTTATACAACCTCTCTTCTTCAGCTTGAACATAGGTCAGGACCAATGTTCCCTCTAAGCTTTGGAGTCTTGTGAGCAAAAATTCTACTTTGTGAGCTACTGGCATTAAAGCTGTGAGTGAGCGATTTGGCTGCTGTATAAATTAGTTTGCTCTGGAGCCATCCTTCCTGAGCTAAGACAAAAATGTGTGAGCCAGAGGGTAAAAAACTGTGAGCTAGCTCACACTTAGAGGGAACACTGGTCAGGACATCAAACATAACACCATTCTTGTCTCTTTTAAAATCTGTAGAGAGTTATGACCATCTGACACCTCAGGTCGTCCTCTCTCACACTTCCAGAGACATCCACAGAGAGAGTAGCTCAGCCCATTTTAAAAATCATCCCTCATTCACACAGAGCTATTGGGGTCGGTGCTCAAACATCGGTCCAATCACTCTCTGCCACCTCATATCCTATATGTGCATAGACCAAGATATTAAATTATGTCTCTGTGTTTCTTTCCCTTAGACACACAGCCCACTGGGTTAATCAAAACAAGAAACTTAGAAGAACAAAACACTGAACTTTTGATCTTAAGGTCCTATACTTACAACTGGGGTTCTTGAGTTACAAATTTACTATTTTCAGCCTATTCCAAGCAGCTGTTTTATACTGTTTCCCTTAGTCAGAAAACTGTCTTTTCACCTCAGCACTAAAGCTTCCTGCTTGTCTGCTGCTAAGCCCCTGTCATTTTTCAACTCCTGTTTTCCAAGTCTCTCCCTCTCAACGTCAGCTCTGACTGGTTGTTCTTGGAGAAAGACACACTTGTAAGCAGCCCCTCCCTAACACATCTGTACTGCAAACACGAACCTTTCAGTGATATCCAGTCACAATAAGTGTACCCTCCTAACACAATATGAAAGGTTTATAATCTTTCAGATTAGGTTCTTTGTAGGGTGAAATTGAATTATTTTGAGTGCTATGTAACTTTAATCCATAACAACCTACTGGACTGAAGGAGGATAACCAACCACACATTCCAATTTGCAGTAACACCTGTACACTTCAATTAACATGTGAACTCACCACAAGACTGGCTATCCTAACAAACTGGATTCAAGAGGGCCAAGAAATGCCAACTGTCCTATACAATGTATTTTATGTCAAATTACTACTCTGTGCAACACCACATTGCAACAAGGTCTGTTTGCTGCAAATAACTTGTGTTACTTATCTTTGCTTCAGCATACAAGTAATAGTTTTAAAAGGTGTTTTACCATTTCTTCACACATGAATATATTGGAAGAAACCATCACCTTTCCCATATTGATTTCTTCTCACAGCAGTACCAGAGCTGGATTTATGCAAAAACTCATGAAACTGCAGTAACACAGAGAGAGAGTTTGTAAAGGTTGTCATTATCATGGTATATAACAAATTTTTAAAAATCAAATTTGGAAACAATGTTACATTTCCTCTTTTAACATTAATATAAAGTTTGGTTTATACATGCCGGAGAATGAAGAGGTGAAATGTTATGAAAATGATATGCACCACTGCAGACTGCATGAGCCCGCTTTGCGGGGAGGGCAGGGTAAAAATCCCAATAAATAAATAAATAAATAAATAAATAAATAAATAAATGTGCAGTACCAGTACCAGTACCTGCTTCTTCGCATAAAAACCTTCATACAAATAGTTTAAAGTTTTGTTTAAGTTTAACAGCTCATAGGCCATACACTATAAAAAGAAAACACAATTTAAGAATTAAAAATCACAGTATAACAGAAGTTTGCCATATCCACAATACAATATTTACAAAAACTGTTCAAGAGTAGTCTTAATCTTAAAATGTCGGAAAAGGCTGAATATTTTTGTAGCCATTTTCCAATAATTTTTTCTCTGGCTGCATCATGCTTTGGAGAGTAATAGAAGATATGAGACAATGAGGAATTTCACATAAGCCGGTTTGAAGCCATTTTTGATCCGTCGTGGAGTAAACTGGTATAGGGCTGCCATTTCACACATGGCTTTCCCCTACCGGTAAACAGCTGGATCTGAAGCAGTTTGCCATTTCAGACTGCACTGCTTTTCCCCACTTTTCCCTGCCGTTTTTCACCCACATGAGCGATCTCCGGCTTTTTTTTTAAACGTTCACTTTAGAGCGCTATAACACAACACTCCAGGCATTCCAATGGGGTAGCTATAATGCTGTTTTGCCATTGTGTTATAACGCTATAGCACTCTAAAGTGAACATTTTTTTAAAAAAGACGTAGATCACACGTGCGGGCAAAAAATGGCGGGAAGTGGTTTACAGGTAAAACGGTTCAGCCCCGTTTCCTGAACAGGACAGAAGCATTTGTGTGTGAAAGTACAAATATATTCTGGTAGGGAACCGGCTCTAAAACGGTTCTGTCTGAAATGTCAGACCAGAAACTGTTTGGGAACCGTTCCTGAACCGGAATATATCGCCTGTCTGAAATTCCTCAAAGAGTCAACTGTAGTCAAATGAGCAGTCACAAAAGCACCGTTCTAAAGGTATCTTCAGGAAATGGCCCTTCATTTGGGCTATTGGCAATGCGTTGCAGTGTACAATCATATATGACCACCTCAATTTTGGGACATCCGGTATGCTGAAATAGTGGGGCAGGTCAAATTGAGTTGAATACTTAATTTCCAGGTGAAGAGTGGAACATTTCCATACAGTATCCTTTTGTAAGGAATCCCAACCCTGTTTGAACAATTTCTCTGTAAACAGGGTTTGTCTTCTTTCAGTTAAATTTCTTGACTTTTGTAAACCCAGTCAGTATACTTCCATGTCTACAGCTCTATTCCATTTTGACCAGCATTGCTCTCAAGCTACTGACAGAGTGAAGGCTGGAAGACCTTCCAAGTTTAGCAATCTATATTTAAAACTGTAGTTTTCCAAATTAGTGTCGAGATATCTGGAAGACCTAATTCAAGTTGTACAACTGAAGAAGCTATACATGGTGGTAGAATGATTACTTTATGAATGATTACTTTACGAAAGACAACTAACTGAAGCTTATCTAGCAGTTTTATTGGACCCAGGATCCAGATCTGGAATTTGTACAGCATGTGTGATATTACGAGCACCTTGTACACCTTCAGAAGCACTGGCATGTATAGAGTTCCTTGAATAAAGAAAAACTTCCTTAAAGCCAAGAGAGCTAAGTCAGTTTTTTGTTTGAGGTATTGGACATGCTTAGTCCAAAATAGGCTGGATTGGACCACTATTCCCAGATACCTAAATTAATCAGCTACTTTGTACGCACCCATCTTCCATCTTGTGTCCAAGTAAATAGAAAACTAGCATTCAGGGAGAAAGCTTCTATCCTGTTTTTGTTCATTGTGCCAGATTTCTATTGGAAGGAGTTTTAACATAGGAGAGCAAAGGAATGGATTCTTCCATCTGCAGCCTTATGTGGTGCAGTTCTTTATATTATCTCATTTTTTTACATATTTAAATCAGGCCCCAAACAGGATAGCTGGGAGATTTAAAACTTTGGAGGATACATTGAATAAGCATTTCAGAGAAAGCACAAATCCACCCAGTGTACCTAGGGTTATTAAAACCCCCAACTAAACAAAATACTGTAGCACTGCTGCTTTTGAAATAGCAATGGAGCAAGCCCATACATTCAAGAGAATTTATAGAGGGTAATGGCATGGGAAGCAGGCATCATTTTACAATGTGAATTACTGGAATTATTGTGAGCCAATGCTGGAAAAATCAGTGGGGAAGAGGAGAAGAGGGAGACAGTAACATAGTAGTAACATAAAGAAAGAAAGAAAGAAAGAAAGAAAGAAAGAAAGAAAGAAAGAAAGAAAGAAAGAAAGAAAGAAAGAAGGAGGGAGAGAGGAAGGAAGGAAGGAAGGAAGGAAGGCAGGAAGGGAGGAAGTGAGGAAGGAAGCGCGGAAGGAGAT